CCTCCCCCAATTTCTCTAAGGTGCTAGGACGCGCTAGAGTTGGAGTGAGTGTGTGGAATCCAACAGTAGGAATAAGGGCAACTGTCTAGCCCACAACGAGTGGGTAGTAGATTAGTTGAGCCCGGACCTTGCGGAATCCTGGAGAACCCACCACGGAGTTAAGGATCGAGAGTGTAGCGAAGTCTAGAGAGAAAGTGAAGTTTTGGAGAGTTTGGCCCCACGAGCCTAGTCGGCATAGAGAGCCGCTAGCCCTCTTGCAACGTGAGCCCAAGTGAGGGCCGCTCGCTATACATTCCTGTCACTCTGCCACCGCCCAGGCCGCTACCCCCACCTCTCCTGCACCATCCCTGACAGTCGACTCTGATCATGCATCCCATTAGAAATCAATCACCAGTTGCAGATTCCGACTTTGGAGATGCCACGGAACAGCCCATAGATCCAGTTCACCTCTTTGGACTCGTTTCTGAGGTCCCCGACTTCGTCAACCCTCCTCCTGCTGATCCTCCCATCCCTACTGTCCCAACCACTGACGATGCCGAACCCATCCCCAACGTAACTATCACACAGCTAGCCCAGGCCATCGCCAGTTTGGCTCGTCACACTGGACGTCCACCTCCTCCACCATCTTCCGCTCTCCAGACCAAGGTCTGTGAGCCCAAACAGTTCGATGGAAAAGATCCCCATGAACTCCGAGTATTTCTGGTCCAATGCGAATTGAACTTTCAGGACCGCCCCCTTGCTTTTGCTAGTGACCATGCCAAGGTCATCTTCACACAGTCCTACCTCAAGGGGATGGCCCTTGATTGGTTCAAGCCGGACCTACTCTTCAATCAGAATGCTCTACTTCGTCCTTGTTGGATGAATAACTACCAGGAGTTCATCAACGAGCTTCAAACCAACTTCGGTCCTCATGATCCTGTGGGCAACACCAAAGTCCAACTAATGACCCTGGATATGAAGGACGGGCACCACATTAATAAGTACGTCATCGAGTTCAATCGACATGCTTCTCAACTTCATGGTTACGAAGAAGCCGTGCTCTGTCATTTTTTCTATAATGGATTGCTGGAACGTATCAAAGATGACATTGCCAGGGTAGGTAAACCTTCTACTCTTTCGGAACTTTGGACCTTGTCACAGACTTTCGATGCATGCTATTGGGAGCGTAAATCCGAAGTGACATGCCACACGAAACCCTCCTCCAATGTCTTTGACAAGACCACTACCGCTTCTCACTCCGACCCCATTCCTTCCTCCTCCTCGTTCAACTCCACTTCTGGTAGCAAGCTTCTGAAGGACAACAAGAAGTCCAAGGTCAGCTCTGCTAAGCCAGATCTTTTGTCAAAACTCGGAGACAATGGCAAGCTCACGCCACAAGAGCGTAAGCATCATCTCGATGAGAAACTTTGCATGTTCTGTGGTCAGTCTGGCCATATGGTCAAGGACTGTCCCAAGTCTTCTTCTTGTGCATCTAAGGCCCACATGGCCCAGACCGAGGAGCAAGGATCTGCTTCCGCAGAGGCAAAAAATTAGTCCACACCCCCGTGGACTCCGCACGGACTGGGGGTTGCAATTCTTCCCTCCATGCACTCAAAGAAGTGTGCTTAAACGTGTCTTCCATCTCTGACTTGTCCTCCCTCCACATCCCCATTTCTTTTTCTCTTTCTAATGGTCTATTTTCTCCTCTTAATGTTGACCCTCCGGTTGATGTTCTACCCATTGTAGATAGTGTTGCTGATGTACCACTTTCTCCTCCTCCTCCTCCTCCTCCTACTTCTGTAGATCGTTCCACCTCTCTCCGCTTCTCTTCTCTCTCTTCTCCCATTCCTTCTTCTCTGTCCGATGTAAGAACAAAAAATAAACTCTTCCACACCTATGAGAACGTTCCCGCACTCATAGATCTGGGTCTTCAGACTGCTTCATTGACAACCCATTCGTGAAGAAGCTGGCCCTGAAGACATATCAGATTAAACCTCTACAACTATGCCTTTTTGATGGTAGCACTAACTCAATCATAACCTGTGCTGTAGGCGGGATAATCGCCCACGTGCAGCACTGGCTCAGATACCCGTTTCCATGATTAGAAAACCCTTTTTATTCATGCGACGACTCGGTACGGAATTGGTATCTAAAAATAGTGCTAATTCGTACGATTCTGACGATACCAAGAACGTCCCAATCGGTGGAGATTTGACGGAGTTCCATGTTGGAGAAGTTAGGCACAGCAGGTCACGGGCATGTGTGGGCATGGGAATCTCAAGTGGCAACCCAGAATTCCAGCCTCACTCATTCCCACGGTGTCTAATAAATTGGTAAAAATGTTTATCGGCTGTGTGAGAGTTATCTCCGGCTACATTTCCAATTTCGGCTCATAATTCCGTAAATCCGTTGAGATATCGCTTATTTCTTTTATTTTCATATTCACCATCAATTATTTCTAAAAATAATTATTTCTTATAATCCTGTACATACCGGATTTTTGAAAAGAAGTTCTCCCCTCCCCCAATTTTCTCTAAGGTGCTAGGACACGCTAGAGTGGGTGTGAGTGTGTGGAATTCCAACAGTAGGAATAAGGGCAACAATCTAGCCTGCAACGAGTGGGTAGTGGATTTGTTGAGCCCGGACCTTGCGGAAATCCTGGAGAACTCACCACGCGGAGTTAAGGATCGAGAGTCGAGCAAAGTCTAGAGAGAAAGTGAAGTTTTAGGAGAGTTTGGCCCCACAAGCTTAGTCGGCATAGAGAGCCGCTAGCCCTCTTGCAGCGCCGTTGATATTCCCCTCCGCTTCGCTTCTGGAAACATCACCCCCACGACTTTCTTTGTCACATCGCTGGATGGATCTTGTTCCCTAGTCCTAGGACACAACTGGCTTACCTGCTACAATCCATTAGGGCCGTTCACAGTTAGTTAAATTGGGCCCAAACTAATTCTAAATTGCATCCAGATTGGCCCGAGTTTTGCCTCACATGGGACATGAGTTCAGAGTGAGTTCAGGTTGAGTTTAGAACATCAGGTCAGGCGTTCACAGTCACACTGCTTCTAAACTGTGTCTAAAGTTGCTCGGACCCGATTTCCATAAGTCCGTCACTCATCACCTTGCACTGTATTATGTAATAACTCCACAGTTCTGATGCCTGTTGTGTCTGACCGCCAGCGTCTCATACATGCTGCCACCCAGCATGCCCTCCGACTACGTGCCCATTACTATCATCAATGCCGACATCTCAGATCCAGCAATTTTTCGAATTCTAGTGATGACTCTTATGACCCTAGCGACGGACACAGTGCCAGTGTAGACTCCTTATCCAGCAGCAGCAGCAGTGACAGCAGCAGCAGCGACAGCAGCAGCAACAACAGCTCCTGTTGCCTATCTGTTGCATCTTCTAATGCGGAATGTGACCAAGCGCTGCAAACTCTCCGCCGCTCATATTTCCAGTCTTTGTTCCGTGTTCGACACTTCCTTTCCACTCTCCTTTCCATCCGTGTCCTATTCCCACATGATGTCTCAAAATGCAGCCAGCTAGGGCTTGTTCTTAGGTGTTATAAAGAGGATGACCATGTGCACTTTCGTCGAAACCTCCGCATCTCACCTCGTACATTCAACATTCTCCTCACTCTTATTCGAGATCACCCCTGCTTTTATAACAACTCTCAAAATAACCAATGGCCTATTGCACAGCAGCTTGCCATTGCCCTATTTCGGTTTGGTCATTTCGGCAGTGCTGCATCTGTTGATGCGATTGCACAGTGGGCAGGTTGTAGTGCTGGGACTGTTGTGAAGGCCACACGTCACGTCGTTATCGCCTTTTTACCGCTTCACAACCAGGCCATTCGATGGCCAAATGTAGACGAAAAGCGAGAAGCATCAGATTGGGTAAGCCTGGAGGCCAGGTTTTTGCATGGTTGATGGCACACTGATTCCTCTTGCATCGAAACCTGGGCACTTTGGGGAGCAATTCTTTGATCGTAAGTCCAACTATTCTCTTAGTCTTTCGGTGCATGCAATTCTTAGTGTGAATTACTGGTGCTGATGGATTTTCTAGCTTGTGACACTGCCAAACCTTCGGATCATTGACTATGTGCTTGGCCCTCCTGGCAGCATGCATGACTCAACAGCATTCAAGGAATCTCGCACTTTCAAGGATTCCAGCCAGCTCTTCCATGAAGGTGAGTGGTTGTGGGCCGATTCAGCATATGCACTGTTGCCGTGGTGCATGGTACCTTATAAGCGCCCACAGTCACTCATACCATATAACCACCAATTCAACTACCACCTGTCAACGGTGTGTTACATATCTAATATGGATTTATAAATTACCTAATGCTCATGCAAACCAGGTACGCATCAGGTCTGAGCATGCTGTAGGGTACCTTAAAGGTCGGTTTCAGTCACTGCGTGGACTCCGTCAACAAATTAATTCAGAGCGTGACTACGTACTTGCACTTGCATGGGTCCGCACCTGCTTGATTATCCACTCATTTGCGGCACGTGTGGAGGATCATGAGTATGAGAGTGATTTTTGGGAATGGGTTGATGAGGGTAGGATTGATGAAGATGAGAGGGAGGAGGACGGACCTGTTGAAGGTTTTGTATGGGGTGGGGTAGGACCACCTCTGCCAGGGGAGACAGAAGCGCAACAGAAGTGCCATCATGTACAAGAAGCACTATTTGATGCTCTGTACTAGAACTCGAAACCCCATTGGCAAAAAGTATATAAACGTGGTGGACTTAGTGCCTCAATAAAAATGCTGCAATCATGCTTGGTGTTGCTGCGCTTGAACCTGCGCTAATTGGACTTGAAGTTTGAGGGACTCAATTTCATGTTTTCGGCACATCTTCTCTTTCTTGGGTTCGGGTCGTGCCATTTGCTGCACATGGTGGTATTGTGCCTCTTGCTGAGCTTGAGCCTGGTCAATCCGTGTGGCTTCATGGAAGTCAGTCATAAAATCCTTTCGGGCCTTTGGGCCTGGAGTGCGCGATGTTTGCCGGGCTGGGTCACCCTTTGATTTTGCCACAATAGATGTGGGGGTCCGTGCCAATGTACAAGAAGAGGTTTGGGATGGCGTGCTAGGATCTTCCAAATCCAGCCCTGGCTTGATATCAGGGAGCTGTGGGTCCGCATGGGGAAGTGGTAGATCCATGCGGAAAAGTGGTGGTTCCATGTCAAGAAGTGCTGGATCAATGTGAGGAAGTGGGCCGGGTTGGAACAAGATCGGAGATTCAAGAGGTGGAGATGACCTGGAAAGTGAGGGTGGATGGGAAGTAGTTCCCCGGACCTAATTAAACTTGCCATTAGTTGAAAAAAAGGGGGATTAAAGCACACAAACTCACTGAATCAAGACCATTCTCATCTTCCTCATCCAGAACCTGCTTGTCAAGCTCAGCAGGACTGGAGACAGCTTGCTCCAAGTCGCCAACCATCTTTTCAACACCGCTTACTGAGTTTGACACCATCTGAAATGCATACTTGGGATGCTCGGACCACCAACCATTCAGTGTGTCCCACCAAGGGAAAAATGATCGAATTGATTCTTGAATCCAAAACATCAGTAGTAGTATGGAAATAATCGGAAAACACTTCACCTAACTGGTTATGGTAAGACTCAGAATCCCCCGCATCACCAAGGTTTTCGTCTTTCAAGCCTTCACCAGTACTCCTCAGCATCTTGCGACATGCAGTATATGTCTTTTGTAAACTATAGTTGAGGAACCATCAGATGGCCCGAAGCAGGCACCGTGAGATGACTTACTAGGTAATCCGACCCATAACAGATGTTGCATAACGTTCAGGCTCCATTCGGTACACTGCACACTCACCCTCACCCTCGACATCAAAAACTGCCTTGGCTATTTCACGATAATACTCAACCTTAGGCTTGCTACCAACAACCTAGGTAACGGTGAACAATAAGCTGTCCATGAAATGTCGGAATACTCACTTTTTTACGAGACTGCTTCTTTGCATCCTTTACTGAGTCACTGAACATCTTCAGTCAAACATCCAAGTTATTTGAGAGGTAATCAATCAAGCGGTAAGTCCAGTGTTCATTGGAATCCCATTGAATTTTCGGAGGCCTTGATTCTGACTTAGCCTCGGCCTTGACAATGGTCAGTGTGGCATCAGCCTCACCATCCCTGGGCATGCGTGGATGGTATTGTATCTCAGCAGGATACCTCAGTCTGAGTAGCACTTTAGTGTTATTACAGTAGTAAGAACAGTATATACAAGAGGGGACTTGCCTGAGTAGCACTTTAGTGTTATTACAGTAGTAAGAACAGTAAAGAGCGACTTGGCAGTCACATGACACTATATGGAGCACAGATTGAATAGAAAATGAAGAGAAATAACTACAACAGATGGCGGCCAGGCCATGGCTGAGATGGAGTAACACCCTCTGCAAGGTTCTTTCATTTTGGTGGCATCAACAGTCCGATGCAGTAGTATGTGATGGGAATGCGGACGGCGAGGGCAGGTGACCTGAGCTGAGAAACTGTACAGTACTTGACTTCTCATGGTTCACGGACTTACTCGGGAGTAAAGCCGAGTCTAGAGGCAGTTGAGGTGAGTGACTTTACATGAATTGGGGCTCTTGAGCCCCAAGTTGAAAAAGATCTAAAGTCACGCTTTAGATCCAGTTTGCCTGAACTTTTGTTCACTTCAGAAATTTCACTTTAGGTTCACTTTAGACGAATTTACTCAACCATGAACCACCCTATTGATTGACTGGGTCTCAAGCAGTATTATGTTCCAAACTTCTGAACCTACCAAGACAGTTACTCTGAGCTCTCCCCTGTCGTCTCCGGCACCACTGCCATCATCCGACATCCAACCATCTGATGTTCTGCTAGCACCTCAGCCCCAGGCTCCCATTCCTCCGATACCATCTATTGAGTTCGTCAGCCATTCCGCATTCGTGAAGGCTTGTCAACTTGAAGGATCAGTATCCTTCAGCCTAACCATCCCTTCCAAGGACAGCCACTTGAGGGCTGCCTCATCCCACACCAATTCCGTTGACCTTTCAGCCATTCCAAAGGAGTACCATGAGTTCGCAGATGTGTTCAGCAAGAGCAAAGCCTCGATGCTAGCACCGCACCGTGAGCACGACCTGAAGATTGACCTTGAGGAAGGCACTTCACCACCCTTGGGAACTATGTATTCCCTCTCTACTTCGGAACTCAAGGCTCTCCAGGCATTCTTAGATGAACACCTAGCCTCCGGGTTCATTCGTCCCGCTACTTCCACTCATGCAGCACCAGTCCTCTTCATCCACAAAAAGGACGGATCCCTCCATCTTTGCGTTGACTTCCAAGGGCTGAACAAGATCACCAAGAAAGATCGCTACCCACTTCCCCACATCTCAGACCTCCTTGATGCACCTAGCTGTGCCACTGTCTATACCCAACTCGACCTCCAGCATGCTTACCACCTGGTTCGCATTGTGGCAGGCGACAAGTGGAACACTTCCTTCTGCACGTGCTATGGTTCCTATGAGTGGCTCGTCATGCCATTCAGTCTCACAAATGCACCTGTGGCCTTCCAGCAATTCGTCAACACGATCTTTGCCGACCTCTTGGACGTTTCTGTGGTAGTCTAGCTAGATGACATCCTTACCTACTCAGAAGACATGGCTTCACACCAGGAGCATGTCCGAGAAGTTCTTAGGAGACTCCGCAAACATGGCCTATATGCCAATCCGAAGAAATGCGAATTTCATATGGACACTATGGAATATCTTGGATACTGCCTTTCTCCCTCCAGACTCACCATGTCCATCGAGAAGGTTAAAGCCATCCAAGATTGACCCGAGCCCCGTAAAGTCAAGGATGTCCAGTCCTTCCTTGGCTTCGCTAACTTCTATCGGTGTTTCATCCACCAATACTCTGACATTGTGGTCCCCTTGATGTGCCTCATGTGTAAAGGAGCCCCTTGGTTATTCTCTGATGACTGTCGTTCTGCTTTCAACACCCTGAAAGAAGCCTTCACTTCCACTCCCATCCTGACACATTGGACACCCGACACCCCCCTCATTGTAGAAACTGATGCCTCCGATTACATGATCTCCAGAATCCTGTCCATCCGTTGTGGTGACAGAGAGATTCACCCCATCGCTTTCCGCCCTAGAACACTCTCGGTGCCGGAGCTCAATTACGACACCCATGATAAGGAACTGCTTGCCATTCACGATGCATTCTGATTGTGGCGCCACTACCTTGAAGGTTCAGGAACCCCAATCGACGTCGTCACCGACCACAAAAACCTTGAGTATTTCTCTACCACCAAACTCTTGACCCAGCAGCAAGCCCACTGGTCAGAGTTCCTCTCCCAGTTCCACATGACTGTCCGATTCCATCCCGGAAGACTCGGAGTAAAACCAGATGCGTTGACTAGACGCTGGGACGTCTATCCCAAAGAAGGGGATATGGACTACGCTCGCATCAATCCACAGAACTTCCAACTGGTCTTCACTTTGGAGCAGCTCACTGCATCCTTACAAGCCACATTCCTAGCTGCCACAGTAATCTGGGCAGCTGTACTCGTCGACACAGAGGCTCTCCATCGAGACATTCTAGCCTCCCTCTCCTCTGATACCACAATCTCTTCTCATCTCGCTTCCCCCAACCTCCCCAATTCCCACTGGTCCATTGATGCTGAAGGCCTGTTAAGGCTGGACAACCACATCTACGTTCCGGATTTCAATGATCTTCGTCTCCGCATTTTGCGAGACAAACACAACCACCAGCTCTCCGGACACTTCGGTCAAAACTGGACCCTGGACCTAGTCTGTCATGATTATACCTGGCCAGGCATCCATAACTTCGTCAAGAGCTACGTGTCCTCCTGTACTTCTTGTGCCTGTGCCAAAGTTCCCCGTCACAAGCCTTACAGCTTACTCAAACAACTCCCTATCCCTGAACGTCCTTGGAACTCCATCTCCATGGATTTCATCGAACAGCTACCCTCCTCTTCCAGATTCACTTCCATCTTGGTCATCGTGGACCACCTGTCCAAGCAGTGCATTTTCATTCCTACCCACAATACCATCACCTCTCTGGAACTGGCCAAGCTATTCCTCCTCCATGTGTTCTCCAAGCATGGAGTTCCTTCCCACATCACCTCCAACAGGGGTCTGGAGTTTGTTTCTCATTTTTTCCATTCACTTGGTAAAGCCCTTGATATCTGCCTCCACTTCACCTCCGGATATCATCCGGAAGGAGATGGACAGACCAAACAGATGAACCAGATGCTCGAGCAGTACCTGCACATCTATAGTAACTATCAGCAGGATAATTGGTCCAAACTCCTACCTCTCATGGAGTTCACATACAACAATGCTCCAAATGCCACCACAGGCATCTCTCCATTCTTTGCCAACAATCGCTACCATCCGAACATCACTGTTCACCCGGAGTGAGACCTAACATCAGTATGCGCCCAAGAGTACTCAGTAGATCTCAACTCCCTCCACCACTTCCTTCGCAAGGAAATGCACCACACTCAGATCCGTTACCAGGGCCTGGCAGACTCCTGTCGGAGTCCTGCCCCAGCTTTTGAGGTAGGAACTTTGGTCTATGTAAAGGCCAAGTATTTCCATTCCACCCGACCTTCCAAGAAGCTCTCCAAGAAAAACCTTGGCCCATTCAAGATCATTGCCCGCATTGGAATCCACTCCCTCACTCTCCACCTGCCAGAAAACATGCGAGCCATTCACCTGGTATTCCATGTCTCACAGATCGAACCCTCCGTCCCAAACATCATTCCGAACTGCCACCAGCCACCTCCGCCTCCAATAGAAATTGAAGGCAAAATGGAGTTCAAGATCGAAGAGATACTCGACTCCAAGATTGACCGATGTAGATGCAACAAGTTGCTCTACCTGGTCAAGTGGCTAGGCTATGAAGGGACCGATGAGGAGACACAATGGCTCCTTGCCAGTGAACTCGATCATGCCTCCAACCTCGTTGAAGCCTTCCACTCTCGGTACCCAGACAAGCCTGGTCCTGAAGCTCCTTAGGAACCTCGACTCCTCTCCCATCTCTCCTTTCCCTCCAACTCCTCATTTTCATTTTCATTTTCATTTTTTCTCTCTTCTGTAAGTACAGCTCCCCTCACCTTACTAATTCTGGGCCTTCAAGGGTTCAGGCCTAAGAAGGGGATACTGTCATATCCATCCATGGCCATCACCCTCAACCACCTCCGCTCCTCTGCCACTAACCTCGGAGCCCCTGGTTTCCGCAATCACCTCCGACCCCCCCCCCCCCGATGGTCACCACCTCTCCAATTCAATATATTACCTATGCCTCCCTAAGTACAGAGCCCCAAAGCTCTCCAGACAGCTCCAACATCCGCTAGCGCATTCCCGCCTCCACTGGGCAATTCACTTGCTTGCCCTGCAAGTCTACCTTCAGGCCTATCCCTCCTTTCCACTTGTGGGTCATAACCCATCATTCCATTAAACCCGCAACCCGGCTCGTCAGTAATATTCAGTCGGCTAACATCTATCCCCATTAGCTCCACCCCACCCTTGCTGTAACTATATATACTTAACTTGTACACAGGTTACACTCCAGTGATAAAATCGACTAGAGTTGATCCCCCTTTTTAGTTCTCATTGCCAGTAAGTAAATTAGGGCATGGACATGTAACTTGGCACAGTGCTCCTGGTCTGAGTTGCTGAGGCCGAAGCCCTCCACCATGGAGACAACTCCTTCATCTCACTCCAGTCTCTAACAGCAACGGCCCTACTCCCAAGAATGACATTGCGACCCTCACTGCATCCCCATCCAAACAGGCTCTCTGTAAGTCACAGTTGCAACACATCTCAATAAAATGCTGAAAGGCGGCCCCTCTCACAGAAACGTCGTTTGCGGCCAAAATCTTTCTCACTTCTTAGTTTCTGATCTGTCTGAGGCCCCCCTTCTACTCGTCCTACCTTCCTGTCTCAAAGAAACACCACACCTGACTAAGCTCTATGTACATACTGTCAAAAAGCGTGTTTGATTTAATACCACAATGTTTCTGCTGCCATGGCTGTGCAG